CATTGCATACCTGCATCCGCGTGCTGAAAGTGTGCATAAACAATCATTTGTTATTGGTAAGTTTGAGCAAGTGTTGTTAACATATATACTTTTTGTTTGTTTGAAAATGTTTGGTTAAGTACCTATAATTCAATAATTTGTTGTTTGTTGGTTTTAGATGTGTAGAAAATCTTATGACCATAACGTTTCTGTATGTTAATCCTGAAGTGAGCTGCGTGAAATTGAAGTATTTGGATGTAAACTCCCTATTGTTAGGAGCATTTGGATGTACTGTCTGGACTAATTGTATCAATGTGTTGTCAGGTGTAAATAAGATTTTTTTTGTTTAATTGATTTGTTGTTTAATTTCAATCCGCATTATGTTGATGGTAAAAAAGACATGTTGATTGTACACTTTCACGTTGCGAATTCAAGGAAAACACCTTCAAATAGATAACAGACAACAATCCGATAAGTGATAACAACTGAACAGATCATAACAATGTTCAAACTCAAGTTACTAATGCATGTCTAACTGAAAATGTATGCATTCACACATAAATTACACATAATACAACGTTTGCATTTAAAAATCACCTAAATTAATAAGTCCCAAAAGGTGAAGCCGGTTGTGATTGAGATTTTGATTTTGATTGCGATTTTGATTTCCTTTTGCTTGGCACCATATGAGCTTTGGATTTTGATGAGGATCCATATTTTGGTAGAGGAAAAGATAATTGTGATGGCACTGGTGATCCACATGTCAACCTTGTATGACCATTTTCCTTGCACTGACTACATGTCGATATCCTCTTCTCTTCACCCTTAGACGGTATATGATCATGATTTTTTAGTCGGTCAGGTAGCCTACTGTCCATGACTGATGACAAAACTGTTTGTAAGTCATCTAGTATGTCCCACTTAGAAGGATATGGAATAGGGTAGACAATCTCGACATAAGTCTGTCGATATACTTCTGTAGTGTAGCAATCCATAGCGTATATGCTTGAAAGATCTTGATTTAGATGAAGAGCAACTTTTATAACATGGCCACACAGATAACCAGATGTTTGCCATTTCATACAACTACACGTCTTTGCATTTAGATCGACAAGCCCATTTAAGTTATTATCCAAGACTTCAAACAAAGTGTTTGAACATGGTTTAACTCTCTATGACGTTGACTTCACAACACGTTTCATTATCTTTTTTTCAGTCCATGGTGTAACACGACGTTCCAATGTTCCTGTAATTTTAAATAAATAATACTTAGTAAAATATATTAAATTTGATAAGTTACGAATTTAAAGAAATAATACATGCATGGTTTCTTTTCTCGTAGTACCACTGTTGAATAGAGGCTCGAAAAAACTCTATTAACATAGTAATGGGTAATTTTCGTGAATGACGACTTAGAGCTTTGATTGATTCTGCATTATTAGATGTCATGAAACCATATCTTTCTCCAAGTTGATGTACTCTTGACCATATTTCAAACCCGACATCTTCTAGTGTTTGAGCACATTGAGGCAAAACACGTCTTAAACAATTTATATGCTTATTAAAATCCACTTCCCGATAAGCTTTTACAGCCTTCCAGTATGTTCATTTGTGATTTTTTATACCAGTAGACCTTGATTTTAGATTTCTGTACAAATGAACACCACAAAGTCCATGAAAAGCATCTGGGAAACACCTTCTAACAACGTTGTCAATTATGTTTGCCTTATCGGATATGATTGTCAGATTGCTAATAGTACCTATACAATCCCTAAGATGCCCCATAAACTATGTCCATGAATCAGAGGTTTCAGATTTGCCAACCCCGTAAGCTATTGGTAGTATCCCATTGTTAGCATCCATGGCTACCGCTAATAAGTTTACTCCAAGGTATCGACCTTTCAAATGTGCTCCATCAACTATAATAACTGGGCGCATGCAAGTAATAAACGAACGAATCTACAAAATAATAAACATAAGAAATACAATCATTTAAATGTGAAATGCATGTAACTAACAAAAATGAGTCAACAAATTTATATTGATTTACTAACCGCAGCACAAATGGCGATAAACAACAACTTAAAGTGTCCATCTCTATCTGTTTTGATATGAGTTACCGACCCAAGATTTTTCATCTTTAAATTATGACAATAAGCCGACAGTTAGGAAAACGATGCTTCTGGCGACCCCCTCAACAATTCCAAGGCATAACATTTGGCTCTCCAAGCTTGAGAATATGAGATACTAATCTTGAACCGAGCATCATGTCAGTCACAATTTCATGTCCCCGATATACCCTGCCATTCAAAAACATTAACTCAGCCAGAAAACCACCCAACACCTTTTTGTTTGCCTGTCTATGGTGAGGAAAAACTTAGGTTCTTGAACATGTATGTTTATCAATAAAAGTCCTAACTTGAAACATTTTGCAATCTTTTATCCTCTTTGCAATCATACGCCACGTATAGTTTTTGTCAATCATACACTTTGTTTCAAAACGATATTTGCTTGATTTGTTAACTTTTAGTTGATAGCCATCTTCCACACATTTCGTAGACAAAGCTATCTTCAAGTCTTCCTTTGAATCAAAACAATCATCTTTCTTGATATAAATAACTTTTTCTGTAACAATCAACTGCTATCTTTACCAACTCTTCTTCCGGTATCTGAAGTAATTCTGTCATATTCCAGTTATACTCCCATGGCATTTTCTTCTTCTTTTTTCTTCAGGGACTTCTTCTTCTTCTTTTTCTTCAGGGTTATATGAATTACAGAATGAATGTTCAACATGTTCATTCACAGTCGTAACTTCCTCCTCATTATCATCAACAACATCTTCCTCGGCAGCGGTTGTTTCATCATCAAAATTTGAGTATTGACCAATATCAAAATCATTACACGCAGGGTCTGTTTCTTCTTCTGAAACATCATCAAAATCCGAGTATTGACCAAAATCAAAGTCTGGGTATTGACCAAGATCAAATTTCGAATACTGACTAGTACTCACAATTTTTTATGTTGGCTCATCATCGTCTAACTGGTCAATACGAAAATCGGAATTTGGTGCTGAAAGTTGATTGGTATTTGGATTAGGGAAAGGTTGTGGGTTTTGAGATTGTGTTTGATATTGTGTTTGGTATTGGAAATGTGGTGAAACAAAATTTTCTTGGTGATGAAATTGTGGTGGAACCATTAAATTTTGAGGTTGATAACAACGTTGTACATTGTGAGCACCATAAACTGGTGTTGAAGAACTTATTTGATTACTACCCGCTACTGACCCAACTTCACTACTTCTAGGTTCAACAACATACAATGTAACATCATCTTCTTGCGAAACACTAATGTAAGCAATGAATCGTTCAACATCTTCATTGTCTGTTAACAAATAAACTTTACATTTTCTCTGATAAGATAGCCTAAATCCACTTAGAGGCTCTAAATTCAATTTCTTTGCAACACGTAACATTAGAGTTTCATAAGTTAACTTTTTTAATGAAAGTTTTAGTTGAAGATTCATGGGTAAAGGCATATATTGTAAAACACCATGAACATTCTCCCATGACCCTCCAAAACACAAATTTATCCAAACATGATCAACATTAGATGATTTCATTCTACAAATTGTAAATTAATTTACTAAACAAACGAGCTATAAACTAGATATCATCATTAACTTAGAGAAAAACATACCTTTATTAAGTTGATAGTTGATAATTTGGGAGAGAAATCATTGAAAATTATATAGAAATAAAATTATGTAAAAATAATTAGAGATGGGGAAGGATGTCGTTGGATATAGGAACGAATGTCTCCGGAGAGAGTAATAGATGGAGATGGAATGAGTTGCGATTTAGGGATTTAGGTTATGAGTTGCTGCTGCTGCGTAGTTTATATACCAAAAACATTTATGTTTCGAAAATAAAAGATGTTGCGAAATTAAAATTCGTGTTGCGAAAACAAAATTCGTGTTGCAATTTAGAAAATCTTGTTGCGAAAAAGAAATTCGTGTTGCGAGAAAGAAATTCGCTTTGCGATTGTAGAAACTAAGTTGCGAATTTGGAATCTGTGTTGCGAAATTGGAGTTCGCGTTGCAAATTTATTAGTCATTTTCGCAAATCTAAAAAAAGTTGGTTAAAATCGTATATTATAAGGCATTTTCGGTCACTGAAGTTATTTTCTCTATAAAATAAGTTTCAAATTATACCGTTTATTATGAATATGTATCTAAATTATTTTTTAAATGATCACTGTCTAGCATTACAAACTTACCACTAGGTGCCAAGACCATAAATAGTGTTAATTTCTTCTATTAAGCGATAAGTGCCACATTCTAGTAATTTTGAAATTTATTTTTTAAAATTATTAAAATTATTACTATATTTATAAAAAACCTAATTTCTCTTAAATTATAAAAATTCTAAAATCCCTAAAATCCTCAATTCTTAACCTGCTGCCACCTTGACCACGACCGTCAGCGTAGTCCTCGTCATTATTCTAGTCATATGTCGTCGTAATTATTATCGATTGGTCTTTAAATTTGATTGAGATCGTGATTTTCATAATAGAGTTTTCGAGGTATAAAATGTCGATCAGACATCAATCGATCGCGATTTCATAGGGTTTTGATCGGGTGAGGTCGGGTGGAGTTTCATCGATGAAAAAGGGAGATGGTCGATGTGAGTTTGAGGATTTAAATGAAGGTTTTCAAAGTTTTGAGACTATTTTGAGTTTTTTAAAATATAATTTTAATTTTTAAATTTAAATGAAAATTTTAAAATTATCAGAATATGACATGTGTCACTTAACGAAGAAAATTAGCAGCGTTTACGATCTGAACACCCAAAATACTAACGTTTGTAACGTTATACACCAAAATTATTCAAAAAAATAAATTAAACATTTATTTGTGAAAAGTGTTATAATTTGAGTTATTATTTTATAATTAAGTCTTAAGATAACAAAAATTTACATAACAACTCATATATACATAAATTAAAAACCATTTCCTCAAGCGCTTAGATTAACGGCTCTGATCGCCTACGGGACGCGAACCGTTTCATTCCACCTAGACTCACCGGCTCAGCAACCACTTCACTCTCCATAATTTTAGGCGGCAAACGAGACCCAATCTCCTCTTCCCCGCTGCAACTGCATGTGCTTCGCTCGTTTTCCGATTGGGTTTGGACCTAAAAATAGATCGGAAGCTTGATAATAAGCTGCTTCTTTTTCTTGTAGCTTCGACTCCGGCCGGTTTTTGGTCCTTCATTTTTAACCGGCGATTCCGGTCACACTTCGATCTCACTCTCCCCATACATGAAACCTTAGAAGAAGAAGGCTCAACAACCGGTCGGTTCGATTTAACAGAGCCGGACCGTTTGGGAAACAATCTAGTATTTTTAGTGTACTTCGTTTCAACGAAACAAGTTTTCTGCGGTTTAGGCAAGCCGACGATCGAGGTTTTGGAATTCCTCAAAGAAAAACGCTGAGAATCGGAGTTTGAGTTCGGATTAGGGTTGAGGTTCGTTGAGTTGGGGACCGATTTGCCTTTGTGCGACTCGTTCCGATCGTAAAAGGCGTTGCGATCAACCAGTCGAACTCGGCATCTTTGGAAAGCCAAAACGATTCCGCCGGGATTTCTTCTTCTGCTGGTTTCTCGGTGGACATTGCCGTTGCCGGTGGTGTCACTTTCGCCGGTTGCTAAAGTTTCACAGACGATTTTGCTGTCGTGAGAACCGTCGGCACAGGCGGAAACAAGGGTTTCTAAATTGCCCTGTATCATCGTATCGACGAAGTTAAAGAGAACACAAGGCGTTCGAATTAGGGATGGCAATTGGTCGGGTCGGGTCGGTTTTTTGGGCCACCCGACCCGACCCGAGAAGAAAGGGTTCTCCACCCGTGACCCGACCCGACCCGACAAAATTAATGTTTCACCCGACCCGACCCGAATATATGACTTAGAAACCCGACTCGAAATAATAAAAAAAAAATTAATTCAATGAAAACAGTGACTTAATTGAAAAAAATTATATATGGAGGGATATTATTGTAATTATCCCTAAATATATAAGATAAAATTATATATATTTTTCGGGTCGGGTCGGGTCGGATTTTTTTTACCCTAAACCCGACCCGACCCGACCCGAACAGTGCATTTAAAAAAAACCCGACTCGAACCCGAATTTTTTTAAAAAAAATCCGACCCGATCGGGTCGGGTCGGGTCGGAACCCGTCGGATTCGGGTTGAGTTGCCATCCCTAGTTCGAATTGAGGAGCTTAACGCTGTTTGGTTCGGGGAATGATTCTGATGAGAATGAAATCTACATTCTTCGTTTGGATGGTCGGGTATCTTATTCTTGGTAATGTTTTATTATTAATAATGAATATTTTAAGTATATTATAGGGAATGTTATTACGGCTTCTCTTAGATATTATTAGATTACCGACGTTTTAGACTAAAATGTCTTTATTTTTTTTTTCAAAAGTATTATTTTTCTGTAATTGAATAATAAAAATTTTACGAATGTTAAATTACAAATTTATTTTAAACTATTTTAGATTTACAAGAAAAATTTATAATTAAAATTTTATATGAAGTTCATGGTTAAAATAAAATTGTATCATTTCATTAAATATTTTTATATTTTTAATTTTGTAAAAAAATTATATAAATTTTATGAATTTAATTTTTTTAAAGAAAATATATAAATATTTTTCAACTTGTTAAAAAAACAAATATATAATAAAGACAATTTGGTCAAATATACATTCTAATATTTTTTTTATTCCTTTAACTAAACACAGTAATTTTACATTCCTACTAAACCAACCAAACACAAAATAAAACATTTTCACTAATTTTATTTCCTGATAGCATTTTATTCTCTTATATGTATAGAAAGAGAAAAATCTTACGATTATGTAAAAGTGGTGGGGGAAGAGAGAGTTCAAATTTTAAGATTGTTGACTAGTGCTTGTTTTGCTTTGCTATTTTAGGTGGTGGATTTTTTAAGTTTCGATAAGAATTATTTGACTTGCTACAATTATTATAACCAACAAATTATACAACATATAACTTTAGAAGGATGTTTACTATTAAATTTTAAATGATTCAATTTTAATATTGTAACACTAAACTTAATTCGACCTGAAATTCGGAGATTTGAATATTACACATAATCACTAGAGTGACTAACCATTTCCTTTTTTAAAAAAAATCATTACTCGTAACTTATAAGAAACACCCATAAAACTCATAGTTGAAACATAAACATTCAAGGTTTACTAAATGAGGAGCTCTCAAATATCACATCTCAAAATATACGATTTTAAACAAAAAGTGTTATGAGTCAATTACACATAGAGTCTATGAAGCTCGATGGAATTTGAAATCCATGATCTGGCAATAAGCTCCTCGACTGACACCTAAAAACCTAAGAACGGAGACAATTTTGAACGCTGAACTACGAGTTTAATGCCACACAAATAACTCTACTATATTACATGCATCCACCAAAAAAGTATGTTAGCAAGTATAACCATGGAGTAACGAAATGCATCAATCATAAATCACAATAAACCATCGTGAGCAATTCGGAGTTACAGAGTATAGTAGTAATGATGTCATATAACTATACTATACTAAAGTACCTTAGCACTGATGGGGATATATTTTGATATTTCACATATATATACATTAAACGATTGCCATACATTCAAGTAGCTCGAGTGTTCTCATCGTTTCTCGAATGCCAAGCAAAGAAAAAGTCTTATGGAATATTATATTTTAACGTTCTTATGCTTAGCATATAAATATTCAGGGTTTCTACTTATAAGCTTTTATTATTAGGGTATCCACCCTTAGATTCCTCACTCGACCTTCTAAGTGAAACGAACCTCTAATCCTTCTTTATTTATGATGGTATTAATACTCAACCTTGTAGTATTAATACTACTCTCTTATGGTATCGATACTACCCCAATTATTGATACCCAAATTGCATTATGAAATTTGAAAAAAGGGCTTCTAGTATTGATAGAGAAGCGGTGGCGTATTAATGAACGTTGCTCTTGTTGAAGAATCAAACCTAGAAAGCTCTAGACCTGATGATGAACAAAGGAGGATGAATAGTATAAGGTGGCTCCCTTATGAAGGTGAACGGTAAAGATGATGATGGTGAGGATGGATTTTTGGAAAATATATGGATAAGTGTCCTATCGAACCCTCCTAGTCACAATGAAAAGACAAACTTGATAATATGGCTCTAAGTGTCCTATCGAACCTCCTAGTCGCAATGAAAAGGAACAATTGATAATATGACTCTAACCAATCCTCTAGTAGTGATGAAAAGACAAATTGGAGTGTGAAGATTAATCTCCCTCACAAGAACTTGAAAAAACTCCAGGAAAAGAAGCTTTGATGGCACAAGGCAATCAACACTTGCAAAAACGAACTCTAGTTGTATTATTAATTAAAGAAATATGTCTTACAAAGTTGAATGAAGCCTCCTTTATATAGGGGATGAGTTCTAAAGGTCCTAAATAACTAATGAATAAAATAATAACAAACTAAACGTGTCTTAACTCTAATTCTTAATAAAATAATAATAAACTAAAAATAATATTTTTTACTTAACCTTAATTCCTAATAAAATAGGAAATCTAATTCTAAAAGATAATGCATCATCCTATGTTAAATTATATTACAAATAATAAAATAAAAATTGTAACATCCCAAAACTAGAGCAAGTGACTAAAATGAAAGTTTTGAAAATTTGAAGTCTAATTTCGAAAGATCTAAAAGTTCAGAGACTTAATTAGGAATATTTTGAGGATTATTTGGTAAATATGTAAGGAAGTAAGGGTAAATTGGTCTTTGCAAAGAAAGATTGTTATTATCTCTTTATAAAAGAGATAACCACGTGTAAATGAGAAAGAAAATTCTGGTGAGATGGGGTTCAGTTTTTTCTTCTTCCTCCTGTGTCTTCATGTATAAGGTGAGTTGGATTTAATTTGCTTGTTTCTTCAATCTTATGGTTTCTTTTGATTCTTGAGTGATAAGAAAGAGTAAGGGAAGATTTATGGTGACCTAAAACTCCAAAATGAACAAGTTATAAGATATTTAGTAAAAGGAGTTTTTAAGTGAATTATTGAAATAGAAAGAGTTAACAGAATTTAAAGTTAAATTTGACTTGTCAAAGGGTTAATTAAGAAGTTAGAGGTGATAGAATTGAATTAAGAACAAATGGAAAATTTGATAAAATTCTTTTATTCAAGAATTATGGTGAATTATGAAGGATAGTTAAGTGTTATAGTGTTATAAGAAGGTTTACATATGTATAGATGAGTTTTAAGGCATAAGGAGGGGTTAATAAGTAGAATTTGAGGACAAAGTAAGAATTTTCGGGCTCAATGGAATTTCTGGGTTGTATGCATCGATGCATCTTCAATGTGTATCGATGCACTCTCAAATAAATGAACATCGAATGCAATTAGTGAATCGATGCATAAGGTGTGCATCGATGCACCCCCCCTAAGATTAAAACATCGAAAGTGATTTGTGTACCGATGCATGGGTAGTGCATCGATGCACATGTTAAGGGATGCATTGATACACTATAGAATGTACCGATGCACTTCAATAGGAAATGGAATAAATCTTTCTTTCAGCCTAAGAAGTGATAGATTATAGTATATCGATTGGATACTGATAATATAAATATATGATTATGTAGATATCGATCGAGAGCAAGTTCCGGAATGATTAAAAGATTAGAATTGATCTAGAAGAGAAAGTAAGTCATATGAGTAATTGATAGCAAGTGAGGCCAAGGTGAGTGCATATTAGATCGTATATGATATAAAATGGAAATAAGACTTGCGACAAGTCTATTTCCTATAGTGTCATGCATAAATTCATGAACATGAACATGTGTTTGTTATGAATTATATGTTGTTGTAGGTATGTTATGAATTATATGTTGTTGTAGGTATGATATGACTTGTATGAATATATGTTAGTGTGATAAGATATAGAAATCGATATAAGTGATATATATAGATTTACATAAGCTATATGAATATATGTTTATATAATGAATAATATGCATATGTGATATATGAATATAAGAGATTAAGTGAATGAACATAGATGATATGCAAGATTATATAAGAATTAGATATGAATTATATAATATAGGTTATATGAAAATATATGTGAATAAGATATGATATATATGTTTATGAGAAACCATGCAAGTGACATGAACTATGTGATATGAATATGTGGAATTTGATACAAAGTGATGTGATTATATGGTCACAAGAGATAAGAGACAGGTGAAAGTGAACTATGTGATTATATGAATATGTGACATGATATATTGCTAATGCCCATGTTATGTGTAAAGAGAGCTAGAGGTATAGTTGACATGCCAAGAGTCGAGGGATTTACAGTGGTCCTTCAGGATATAGTGGTCCATCGGGACATTACATAGTGGTCATTCGGGATAAATTTCATAGCCCCTAGTAGGACCCCATACAAGCTGTGGTGACAGCATAGTACACAACCTCAATAGACTCACATGTCTATAGTTCTCAAAAGTGTACATGGGCTAAACAAAGAGATAACAATGAAAATAGTACTTGTGAAGTATATGCTTTTGCGATATGAACTATATTATATGATTAATATGATGATGTGTGTATGGTTTGAATGAGTCATATGTTGATAAAAATATATGATTAAAGGATATAAATGATAATAATATTGATAATAGAATA